CCATTGCCTGCCCCCCGCCCTGCATCCACTTCCCCAATGCACGCCCCCTGCGCCCCCTCCCCCCAGTTCCACACCCACCGGGTCTCAGCATCCTCTCCAGTCCTGGGGTGCCACGTGTTCAGGCCCGCTCGTCCTTCCAGCCCCGCCCAGATGAACCCCTCTTTCGACACAGAACTCCCCCCGGCCCAGAGGGAGGGGCGGAATGTTTGCACGTGGGTCTGGCTGTGATCTGGCCAGGAACCTGTATGTAAGTCCAGGAATGGGGGGGCTTCCTTTGTGAGTATGTGGCTGTGTGTGACCGTCAGTCGGGCGTGTCTATAGTTTTCTGTGTGTCTCTGAGTGTGTGACCAGGGGTGCCCGTGTGATTCTGTGCATCTGTGAGCGAGACCTCCTTAAAAGTGCCCAGAAGTGGTTGCTGCTCGTGTGGACCCACAGCCGGGGCCAGTGCCCAGGTCAGACCTCTACTTGCCTGGCCAAGCTGTTGGCCCCCTTCTCCTGGGATCCAGAGGTTTGTGGTATCCTCCCTTCTCAGAATCAGAAGTTTCTCCCCGTCCAAGGGGACTAGCCTTGGGGTCTTAGGTGGGAGGTGCACACCTTATATTTTGATCCCTTGCTCTGGTGGCAAGCCATCCTGTGTACATCCTGCCCACATTGGGCTGCACTAGGCCACCTCCCAACCTGGTCCCAAGTGGCCTGGCCTTTTGGCTCCTGGCACCTGCCTGACAAAATCACTTACCATCCTAGCGGACGGAATGTAGTCAAGAGTGGAACGCTTCTGCATCGTGGCTACCGGTTCGTGGCCTCCCTCCCCCCTTCCCCAAACCTGGAATCCATTCTTGAGGATGCTGCCTGTTCCTGGAGCACAGGGGCACCCCTGTGTCTGTGGGTTTCAGTAGGACCAGTGTCACGTTTGGTGGGCGTACGTCCCGTGGTCTTGTGGGAAGGTTAAGTGCCTGAGTGTGAGGCTGTACTTAATTAAGTGTCTGAGAGCGAGGAAGAGGGTGAAGATTGTCGCTGTATGTGGTTGGGTGTGTGTCTGAGGTGTGTGGCCGTTGCATTGCTAGGGGACTGACTGACTTGGGCGTCTCCTGGTGGGTAGAAAGTGAGTGCCTGAGTCTGAGGCTGTAAGCAGGTGAGTGTGATCCTGTGGGTCTGTGAGTGTGAGCAGCTGGGCAGGAGGTGGGTGGGTGGGTAGCTTTGCACACCCAGCTCTAACCTGCAGGGTCTGTTTCTCTCCTGCCCCTGCTCAGGCCGGCAGCCGGATGCCCGGGCCCATTGGGCCGGCCCGTGGCCGCCTGCGGGATGAGCAGGCTGCTGGGGGGGACGCTGGAGCGCGTCTGCAAGGCCGTGCTCCTGCTCTGTTTGCTGCACTTCCTTGTGGCCGTCATCCTCTACTTCGACGTCTACGCCCAGCACCTGGCCTTCTTCAGCCGCTTCGGTGCCCGAGGCCCCGCCCGTGCCCTCCACCCAGCTGCCGGTGGCAGCGCCAACTGCTCCCGGCCCAACACCACTGCCCCCAGCTCCGGGCTCCCCGAGGCCCCCAGTGCCAGGCCTGGCCCCACGGCTCCCGTCCTGCCACCCTGTCCTGACTCGCCGCCGGGCCTCGGTGAGCCTGCGGGGTGGGGTCTGCTCAGGGCCGGGAGGAGGGTTTCGCCCGCCGCCTGCCCGGTGACTGGGGAGTGGAATCTTGGCCTGTTCTTGGCATTGCCTTGCCCCGGCTCAGGCGCCGCCTTCTGCACTGTCCTGCCTGCAGTGGGCCGCCTCTTGATAGAGTTCACCTCGCCCATGCCTCTGGAGCGGGTGCAGAGGGAGAACCCGGGCGTGCTCCTGGGGGGCCGCTATGCACCGCCCGACTGCGCGCCAGCCCAGACGGTGGCGGTCATCATCCCTTTCCGGCACCGGGAGCACCACCTGCGCTACTGGCTCCACTACCTGCACCCCATCCTGAGGCGGCAGCGGCTGCGCTACGGCGTCTACGTCATCAACCAGGTGTGCTGGCGGCGGGGAGGGGCGTGGGACTGTGTACCTGTGTGCGTGCACCCTTGGGGGCGCCTGTGACAGCGGGGCTGGGCAGGCGCTCATGCCTGTTGGTGCTTCTGTGGGGTTAGAGGCACTTGTGGGTCTGGGGCTGCATGGCCACAGCAGTGTCTGAGTGTGCAGAGAGCTCTGTGTCTACACGATGCGTGGGCCCACCGGCGGGCATGTCCAGGTCTCAGAGAGGAATGAGCTCCGTCTTTCCTCATCGGGCCTCACTCTGTGGTGGAGGCCTGGGGTGTGCTGGCTAGGAGGAGTTGTTGAGAACACTGAGAGGAGGGACAGGCCACGGCCAAGGTCAGGAGACTCAGTCCAGCATCTAAGCTTGATGTAGAAGAGCCTTGTAGACTCTTGTAGACATGGAAGCACAGACAGGAAGCTGATCCAGCCCCGGGACTGGGGGGTGCTTGCTGAGACGGGACTTGGGATGAGCAGGCATCGGCTGGGGGGCTGGAAGGGACATGCATTCTAGGCAGCGGAAGCTGGGGACCCCAAGGTTCAAGGAACAGCTGGTCTGTGTGTTCAGGAACCGCTGGTCGAGGGAGGCGTGGGAGTCCCAGCAGAGATGAGGCTGGGGCACTGGCAGAGACCGAGTGGAGAAGGGTCCTGGGAGGCCTGCTGAGCAGGTGAGTGCCGGCCTGCAGGTGGTGGGGCCCCACGGTCAGGTGGTACTTAATGCATCTCGACTGCCTTTAGCAATTTAATGCATCTCGACTGCCTTTAGCAATTGCTCTGGTTGCAGGTGGAGAATGGCCTGGGAGGGGTGAGGGGAGGTGGGCTGACCAGCGGGAAGAGGGATTAAGTTGGGCATTCACCGTGGGGGTGCAAGGAGAGGTATTATGCAAGTGCGGGTGAGTGAGGAAAGGTAGGGGTCACGAGGGTCTCTGCCTAGGACGTTTGCTGTGGGGTGGCAGCACCTCTCAGTGAGGTGGGGAACACAGGAACCAACGCAGCCCTGGGGGTGTCTGGCTCCGGATTCTTGTGCGCACGTGAGAAGTTTGAGGGCCTGGGGGAGGTGTAGGAGGAAGTGTCTGGTGGGTGGACAAATGAATCTGGATCTAAGAGCAAGGTCTGAGCCGGAAAGAGGATGCTGGGAGTGGTCCCTAAAGTCAACCATGCACAACACACCCTGGGTGCATGGGACATACAAGGAGGAAAGCCAGAGGGGGGGAGCTCGGAGGAAACCAGCAGTGGAGGGGTGCGTGGATGAGGGCTGCCCCAGGAGGCCGAGCAGATTGGCCAGAAGGTCGGTCTGGGACAGCGGGGTGTCCCTGAAGCCCAGGAGAGAGTTGGACAGGAGCTGTGGCAGCTGAGTCTGCCGGGGGAGTCCAGAGGGATTGGACGAGAGTTGTCCGGTGGATTTAGCAACAAGATGGGCCCAACGAGAGCCATTTCAGGGGCACGGTGGGGGCGGGAGCAGATTGCAGTGGGTTGAAGGAGGAATCGGATTTGAAGAAACGGAAATAGCTGGTTGGAGGCAACTCTCCCTAAAAACTGCCAAGAAGGGAAGGCCAAGGTGGGGCGGCGGCTAGAAGGGGCCTTGTTTAGATGGGAAGGAGCTGAGCCTGATTGTGAGCCGTGTGGGGAAACTCGGGGCACGGAGTCAGAAAAGGTGCTGGTGGGAATGGTCAGGTCCTCCGGGGGCTGGTGGGAGAGAAGGGAGAGAGGAGAACTGGGTGGGGG